GGGGTGGAGAAGCTTTAGGGACCGTTCGGATTCTCACGCTTGTTTTCCTGCCGTTTTCTCTCCTGGCTTTATTTACTGCCGTTATTCCCAGATCTGCGCGCAGGTGGTGAGAGCGGCGATGAAGCCTCAGTACAAAGCGGAGGCGGAGAGGGCGGCAACGGCCACTGTGAAGACTGTGAAACCCAAGAAGGAATAAAATGAGCTGATTTGTGGTGAATAACATGTGGTTTATCTTGATTTCAGTAAAGCATTTGACACCGTCTCCCACAGCATCCTTGTGGATAAGTTGATCAGGTATGGGTTTGGTGACCAGGAAGTGAGGTGGGCTGCTCGGGCGCCCTGTGCGCTGCGGGAAATCGGCCCTGATCTCCAGGCGTGAACCGGGAACGGAGCGGGGCCTGGTTCGTGTCTCTGTGCGGATCTCTGCATCCGGATCGCGTGTGGGATGGGAGTGTAACGTCCTCAGTTCAGTCAGGGGAGGTGTTGCCTCCATCGAGCTCTGCTGTGAGCGGTTTGCAGTTTGGTCGAGGTTGTTACGCAGAACAGCTGAGTTTGTCATGATTTTCATAGGTTTCTTGTCTCTTTACTAAGCCAAGACACAATGTCTCTGAATTCCTGCTTCCCCTAATTATCAGACTTACTTAAGGATTCCCTAATATCTGTGAAAGGCAGATGTTACTTGTACCTTTTTTGGTGACATTGCACACATCATAAGCAGCTGAATCCTGTTTTAAGTAAAACATCTTCTGATATGAGAATAAATACTACCTTTTGTTTGAAGTGTAGCTTGTATGTATTCTTAATAACTTGAATTTTAAATCTCTCACAGGAGCTGATTTGTGGTGAATAACAGCAAACTGCAAAGCTGCAGGCAAGCTGAAGACTGCATTATGATGTAATCACCTTAACTGTAAAACTTGCCTGTGGATGTAAATCAGCATGCTAATAAATGTATTTTCTGTTAAACAAATGCATGTGTGGAAAGTGCTGTTCCTCTTGAAACAACGTCCTCCATTTTGCAGAGACATTTACCTTTCACTTGTGTTAAAATAGATGGATTTTCACCAGGCTACCATTCAGTAGCAACATGTTTGTTATTATGGCAAATTTTTAAGTTTGGATTTCATGTTTCAGGTACATCAGTGAATAAGGGATTTAATTGTTTAAAACTTTTCAGCCTAAAATTTACAACTTTTCAATTACCAATGATTCCTTTGGATAAAAGTTTTCTTCACTAAAATCTGTCAACAGACAATTTCAATAATTAAAACCACCTCTGTCAGTTAAAAATATCTCTGTGCTGGAGGGGTGCTCTGATGGCTTTAGTGTTCTCTTCATCATGGTGTTCATCTCCAGTTTGTGCATAGGACAAAACCAGGGAAGATGAGTCTTGTGAGATTTAGGGTTATGACTAAACTGGAAGCAGGATAGTTTTCACCACAGCTGTGCTGCCTGGGATCTGAGCTCCAAAGCTGCCTGGGACAGAGTTGAGGGCTGGTGCCCTGCACGAGGTGAGGAAGGAGGTGCAGAAATCCCTGGACTGTGTTCTGCTCACTCAGCAATCGGTTGTCCTAGTTACCACTTTGTCACTTAGCTGGGAGGGACAGAGACACACACACATCGACAGACACTGAACCACAGGAATGGGGCAGAGGACAGTCCCTGCTTCCAGCTGTATCCGTGGGGGGGGAGTGTAGGCACGGTCCTACAGACCTGGCTGCTGGTTGGTGTTCACCGAGGTGCTGCTGTTGTTGACTCCAACAGGAGGCGCTACTTTGTTCACTGTACAACAAACTGTCTTCTCAGATTATAAAAAAACCAAGCTCAATTATTTTTTTCAGATAATTTCAAGTTAGTCATTACAAGAATAAACCATGATTTTTGTCTATCAAATGTTTCAAGTACTGAAGTATTTGCTAGAGTGTTATATTATTTTTATTTTAAAGAACATTATAAATACAGTCTTAAGTAGATGGCTGTGAATGGTAAACAATTTGTTTTGAAGATATGTTCTCGATTTAGTGATTGCTGTTGAACTTGCATGTAACTATCCATCTGCAAACCATTCCATCCATTTTACTCTACCAAGTGATAGGAAGAAAATTTAAAATAGTACACAGGGGAAAGAACCACACCAAAACTTATACACAGTGTTTGCAACTTTGGATACTAATATGACTCAGTCTATAGTTGGACATAGAAACAAACCACTCAATAATAATTAATAGAAGCTCTGCAATAATATAAGCCAGCAATGTGATAAAACTACTGGTGTACTTCTAAAAAAAAATAAAAAAGAATGTGCATTTTTCAGTCTTTGCCCTGTGTTGTTTCCCTCCTGCAACTTTATGAACTGAACCTGTCTGCAGATCTACATCAGTCTGTGGAGTGTGTAATAAAATAGATGCTGCTTTTCTAGGCCTCCCAGATGTGCATGTGTTCCTGAAGCAGTAGCAAGATCACAAACAAAACTCAAACTGTGTTTACCTAAGAATAAATACATGGGATGAGTTGCTAGCATACCTGTTGAGTATGATCCTGAAATACACACAGAGGCTGTATATTTAATTCAGTGTCTGGTGACAACATTTTAGAAGTGAATACATTTACAAGAACGGCTGTTAGGAGACAACTTGCCTTCATAGTGACTTTTTAGGAGTGATTCAGTATCAGCAGTTCTTTGGAGAGTAAAGCATGGCTGCCAGTATTTTCAAAAGCACTGTATTGTAATGCTGGGTATATTTTGGCCAGAGGCAGAGAAAAAATTCTTAAGAAAGGTGTTATTTTTTATATGCAGCTGATGGCTACTGCTTTTTCTTCAGTGTGGCTTATTCAGAGAATGTTTTGGTATTACCATTGTTTTTACACTGCTTCCTTTTCTGGGCTGGGTTCCACTTCTACCTCTTCATATTCCTCCACGTCTGCAGTAGCATCCTGGTACTGCTGGTACTCTGACACGAGGTCATTGGTGTTACCTTCTGCTTCAGAAAATTCCATCTCGTCCATTCCTTCACCAGTATACCAATGGAGAAATGCTTTTCTTCTGAACATAGCTGAGAACTGCTCAGAAACCCTGATGAAGAGCTCCTGAATGGCTGTGTTATTGCCAATAAAGGTGGCTGCCATCTTCAGCCCTCGTGGTGGTATGTCACACACAGCCACTTTGACATTGTTAGGGATCCACTCCACAAAGTAGGAACTATTCTTAGTCTGGACAGACAGCAACTGCTCATCCACTTCTCTAGTAGACATTCTGCCTCTGAAGATACAGGCCACGGTCAAGTAACGTCCACGCCGAGGGTCGCAGGCTGCCATCATGTTGCGTGCATCAAACATTTGTTGGGTGAGCTCTGGCACTGAGAGGGCTCTGTACTGTTGGCTGCCTCGAGCTGTCAGTGGAGCAAAGCCTGGCATAAAGAAATGCAGGCGAGGAAAGGGCACCATGTTGACAGCCAGCTTCCTCAGGTCTGCATTCAGCTGGCCAGGAAAACGGAGCGAGGTTGTGACACCACTCATTGTTAGTGACACTAAGTGGTTGAGGTCACCATAGGTGGGATTGGTGAGCTTTAAAGTTCTAAAACATATATCGTATAGAGCTTCGTTATCAATGCAAAAGGTTTCATCTGTATTCTCTATGAGCTGATGGATGGAGAGGATGGCATTATACGGCTCGACGACTGTGTCAGACACTTTGGGTGAAGGCACAACACTGAAAGTGTTCATGATCCTGTCAGGATATTCCTCTCTGATTTTGTTGATGAGGAGTGTGCCCATACCTGAGCCTGTACCACCACCAAGAGAATGGATGAGCTGGAATCCCTGAAGGCAGTCACAGCTCTCACACTCATTCCTGACCACATCCATGACGTTTTCAATCAGTTCAGCCCCCTCTGTGTAATGGCCCTTAGCCCAGTTGTTTCCAGCACCTGAATTACCTGTAAATAAAATTACAGAAAGAACATCCACAAAATTAACAAGAGAATTTTTAAACGCTTCAAAGATGGGAGTTAAGAGGCCATTTTGGGGATCACTGACTCTAGTGAGTTTGCTGACAGCATGCTGTACATACCATGAATGAAATTGTCAGGCCGGAAGAGCAGGCCTATCTTGCTGGACCGCACACTGTCCATCGTCCCAGGCTCCAGGTCCACCAAGATAGAACGGGGCACATATTTATGGGCTAGAACAGAAGAAAATGAATGTGAACAGTCATGGTTAGAAGTCAAACAAGACAGGCTTATGATCTACTCTGAAAAAACACAACCCATCCACAGTGATTTTGGAGAATTTTAGTCCTTCAGCTTGGCCCTGCAGTGTCCTGCCACCCCCCCAGCAGTGCTGAGCACTCACAGTAAGCCTCATTGAAGTACACGTTAATCCGCTCCAGCTGCAGTGCTGAATCCCCACGGTAGTTTCCAGCGATGTCAATTCCATGTTCATCACCTAACACCTCCCAGAACTGGAAAAGGAAAGAGGCTCAATGCACTTACACAGATTTTTATGTGTTTTTCATCACAAGGTGCCTGGTGTCAGCTCTGCAGTGCTCATGCCTGACTGCACTTGAAGTGGGAACTGTGCCTGAAGCGGGGGGTGTTTTGCCATTTACATATCAGATCAGAAGGTGGATCCTCTCTCCCTCCTCAAATATGTTCAAAGGAAAAGTTTAGTAAAACATTGTGGAGGCCCTCCATTTGTTCCCTCTTTATAATAAAGGAGCATTGCTATTAGTTTAAACAACACAGGTACTAGTTGGTTTGAGCTTAACAAAAAGGTGGGGGTCGGGAAGTGGATTGGAGAGGGTTGCTTTGAAGCCTGTCATGCACCAGTGAGGCTGTGGCATGGCAAAGCTGGCCCAGACCAATTGGTGAGTGAGCAATGCTTTCCACAAACATGTTGGTCTCAAACATCCTATCTTGACACTCATATGGATGGCTTGTACTGCAGCTCTTATCTAGGCTGCAGCCACAGCAGCGTGAATATAGACACACCCACCCATATAATGACCAGGCTATTTTAATTTTAAAGGTTTTTTACCATCCAGTCTTACTTTGAGTGTACAAATACACCACTGCCAGCATGTGCCTGGTGTTTTAGCATGTGTGTGCGTGTGCATTTTTCTACTGATCTTATTAGATGTAAGTTGTTTCCAGATCAAAGCCAACACAAAAAATTACAAACATTTCAACTATGACACTGGCTGCATTCAAACTATCTGGGTCTAACAGGACGTTCCCCTCCCATCTACAGCTTCGTGTTCCAATAAAAGGAATCAAGGTGAGATTCATGGGAGCAAGAAATGGAGGAAGAACACAAATGACCAATCTTTCAGTTGTTGTGTCCTCAAAGACCTCCCTGCCCCAAATTAACCCAGACACTTCTTTTTTGACAACATCCTACTTATCAATAAAATATAAATAAATATGGACATCACACAGCAAAAAGCAGTATTTTTTTCCCCTTTGTAGCACACAAAGTCAGCAATGAGTGACTGTAAGTAACAGCATGGCAGTGTTTGAAATACACAAAAGTACTTCCAAATGACATGACTACCTGTCACAGGAGGCCAGTTAAGCAGGAATCTTTAACTGCACTTTGTGCCACTCTGAGAAAAACCTAATTGGCCCCTGATAGCACAGGTCATTCTATTGGCTAATAAAGTCCCATATTAATTATAACAGTATGTCAGAGTTACTGCTGTATGGCTGAACTAAAGCACTGGCTTCACAACTTTGCAGCCCTGGAATTACTGGCTCCTTGTCCCAGTATTTTGCAGACTAGATTAGCACCCCTGGGAAAGTGAGGAATGCTCTGGAGCACTTATAATCACTGTACCATAGTTCTTGTAGATGTTTTGTTCTTTGACAGCCTTAACATCAGTGTTTACATGAGAAGCAAGCCCATGTCATGACTTTCACATCAAGATACTCACATTCACCACTGACATGCCATGCATTCTACCACTGAGTTAACAAGCAATTGTTCCCCCCAACAGTCCCCATCTATGGACCATGTCTGACCTGCTACCACTGACAGCACTTACTGCTGATGACCATTGTTGAAAAGAGACCTTACCTTAGCTCCAATTTGGTTCCCACACTGCCCAATCTGAAGATGCACGATTTCACGCATTTTGTGTAGCTTAGACCTCTTGGTGGCTGCAACCTCACACAGGTTTTCTAGTTGCAGTCCCCAGAACAAGCCCTTCTGCTGCTGCTCTATCAGCTACACCCAGCACAGCCTGCCCTAAGGGGCCTCTTTATACTAGTGGGACTGTCACTCAGCCAGCAAGGGGAGTAGCCAGCAACTCAGGCTGCTCACCACAGCATTTCACAAGGAGGCAAAGTACCTGTTCTCTGCCTGGGTCCAGGCTCCAGAGCACAGGTGCATTACAGACTGCCTTGACAGAGGAAATCTTCAAAGACAACCCCTTACAATTGATTCCAGTTCCCTGGGCAACAAACAGTGTGATCCATTCATATCTGTGCACACTGTATTTGTGCTTCGTTATTTTATACATAACACATACATAACATAAATACAAAAGCATATGCATGTATAGAGAGCATAGCCAAAATTTAGTGATCTTAATTTGTGAAGTATGTGTGTTTCTGCCACATAATTTTCATCTTAACATTATATGAATCATAGAGGACAACATCCATAATCAAACAGTAACAACTTTTGAGTGGTAGCCTCCTCTAAGCACAATATTCAGTGCACTGCCACGCAGACTTACAGTTCACTAATAAACATCATTCTCAGCATCTAACTGCATGAAGGAGGGGAACAGGATCAGTATGAAAACATACTTTGTAAAGCAGAAATATGCACTCTTAGTGATGTATGTTCCTTAGACACTTAATAAGAATCCATCAGTTTCAGCCAATCTAAAATCTGAATCAACTTGTGACTAACTTGCACACATGCTTGCTCTCTCTCTTTCTGTCTTTCTCTCTCTTCCTTTCCTGCCATTAAGAAATACAGTATTTCTTACAGTTCTTATTTTGTTATATCTGAGATGTAGTATTTCAGAACTTGCCAGGAAAATGCTAGAGGTGAAAACCCAGTTCCACTGGAGTTACCTCTCATGTCCACTGTGTGAAATGTCTCACTGCACTAAAGGAAGCAATGCAAGGCTGAGGAAAACATGACAGTCATGTTGCCTGCTGATAAACAGGGCTAGTATCACTGAGCAACAGAAACCCAGAATGGACTGTCTTCTGGGAGCTTACAGCAGTTTTATTATGTATCAGACAACTGTCAGTGGTCTTTTACGGGTAGGAAAAGGAACTATAATTAGGAAAGCACCTTCAATTATTTTGTATAAAAAGATGACAGTGGAAGGACTTGACTCATTGAAATTAACTATTTTACCACCTTATGGGTTGCTAGAGATAAGGAACCTCTGAGCCTCCATTTTGTTCCAAAAGAGAAATCAGCTTATTCCAGACTTCCCCACCACAGATGACTTCCACTTCTTCCACCAGCCAATGGAGGAAAAGACAGCTGCTCCTACAACAAAGTTTTGCACCAGAAGTGCATTGAAAAAAGTCGCTAGAAAACACTCTGTCATCCTCTGCCAAGAATGAGACGCATTTATCAGAGAGAAATAGAAGCAAGACTTTACATTCAGGTATATGAATTTTGTTTCCTCAAGACACAATAGTTTTAGCATTTTCCAAATGTAAGTGTTCTCGAAACAGTTTAGTTTACTTAGCCAGACAACACAGCAGTTACTTCCACTGCTGCACTGCAGGTATTTTCTACAATGGCAGTGGATATCTTCTACAATTTTCTAAGACAGAATTCTGGAAAGGTTATTTGGACATTTATTTCAAAAACAAATTTAATTTTATTCATGCACATTTCGTATTTAGTTTCTCTGACCATTCTTGGCTGAAAGTAACAGCATAATTCAGACTTGTACATTCAATTGCTGCATTCAGAATGGGAGCTGCATTGACAAAATGTGTCAGAGAAAGCAAATAAATGCTACTTAAAATATTCAGTATATTAATCTACAATAGCCACAACTTATGAAGACACTGAATACATTAATTCAATGTCAAAAAATTTTGGCAAAATAATTTCAGCAATAAATATACTTATATTTTATATAAATATACTCACTGAGCATCTCACAAGCAGAAGGAAAAAAAAAAAGGGAAGTGAAAGAAATAGGCAATCACTTAACATTGTTTTTCTCTTGGTAAAAATAGCTTCCTGGAATCATGTGCCTCCTCTGAAGCACTTCCTTATAGACTCTTACAAATTATGGCACATAACACAAAGTACCTGAGGCGCTTTGTGAAGACGAGGTGGTTTTGTGCCTCTTTTCCCTCTCCATCCCAAAGCATATTTCTATGAAACCCCAAGTCTGTCTTTACACCAAAGCTGGTGTATGAAAAGCCTATTTCTCTGTAAATTTTGTTTGTAGGCCAGTCATTCCTGAGCTCTGAGAAACCTCCAGCCTGCTAACTTCCCCAGCACAGCCACTGAACGTGTGCTGTTGCAGATTAGCACCGTGAGCAGCACCAGAGAAAGAGGAGCTGGAGGTAGAAGGTTTGGCTTCCAGGGGCTTTTGGCACCACGGAGATTAGGAGCAGCCTGGCACTGGGCACAGCTATTGCCAGCCTGTCCCACCGTGTCTATTATCAGACTGCCCACTGCTTCCACTGCCTCCAGAGCAGGCTCTAGATACCAAAGCCCTGGTGATGGGTGTCAGCTAAGGCCACAAAAATGCCAGGTTCTTTTGGTTACTGGGCTGTGGGTTTTTTGGTTACCAAGGAATTTTTGTTTTTGTTTTTCTTGGTTGGTTGTTTTTGTTGTTTTGTGTTTTTTTTTAATGCCACGGCACTACTCCCCAGCAACAAATACACATGTGCAGGGAGGCATCTGGAATAATTTTTTTTATTATTTTTTTTTAAAATATGGTTTACTTGGCAGGGACTAGCTTTCCACAGCAGCAGAGAAGATTCTTGAGAAGCCAGTTTACTAGACACAAGATAACTGAATGACCACCAAATGAGCAGCTGCTGGTCCCAACTAGTTTGGGCGAGCTGCACCGCCCCACAAGCCGATGCATTCCACAGGCAATGGGCTACCTACTGCACGTTTTCATTTCAACTAGTGAGAAAAACTGAAGGCTGCCTCCCTCCAGCAGTGGGTCCAGAGGAAAGAAGGCAGGACTGCCCACCGTAAGTTATCGGCATAACGAGCCCGTATGTTTAAAAAAACCGGGGTTTGGTACAATCAGCACAGACAAGCGAGGAGCTGGTCACGTTCTGCACCTCAGGTCTGTGACCCCGCAACAACACTCGGGATCCCGTGGATCCACCTGCTGCCCCTGCCCTGGCCCTGCCGCTGCCACCAGGGTCAGGCCCTCATGCC